ATAGCTCGTCGGCATAAAGGCGTTACGCACTTTGAAAATAAAAGAAAAAAAACAAGTATTTTTCGCTCTCATATACGTGTACATACACCCATATACATGCACACACGCACGTACACATACAGATATTGCTTATAGTGAAACACAGACCATATGTGATGTGCGGATATGTGGCTCGCGCGCTGATTCACACGAGAGAGATGCCCCATGGCGATGGCGACGACGACGATGTCGGTTGTACATCGACTTTTTTTCTTCTTTTGGTTACATGCACAACGCTTGGACTTTTAGCATTGGTCTTTGGGTGAAATGTGAATCTATTGTTTGTATTTGGCATATGAGATTGTAAGAAACTTACTTTTTAATTAAAAATTGAATTTCGATTTTAAGTAACGTCAGTTTAATTTTTATGAGCATACGTGACTTCCGTCGCAAATATAATCGACTGATTCAATCAAACGTCATGATATTTAATAAATTGTATCTACGAGAAGATGCAAAAACTAATTAGTACCAATGCCAACAACAAAAAAGTTGGCATTTAAGCAAATAGAAATAATGAAAAGCAATGAGCATCAATCTTCACAACCAAATAATACAGTCACATAAAACTCACACGTACAAACATACCAGATATAGACAATTTCCCAATAGGCCGCGCTCGCGCCAAGTACAATTTACCTACGGCAAGTCTTGAACAGTGTTCGTCCATCAATCATCCATCGTTAATAATTTCGTCAAAGCCACCGCCGACTTTTGAAACTTGGCGGCTTTTGTGTCGCGTGTGTACGCATACATAATTGACACATTAGCATCTGCCGCAAGGGGCATCGTAAAGAGCACGCAGCCGCCGCCGCTAAGAAGGCTCATTTGAATAATCACTCCGAATGAGAAAAGGATTGATTAAACAAAGGCCCGATTGTTTTCTACGACGCCACCTGCGCGCGCGGGCAGAGACATCAGACGAAACCGCAAGCTCGCGCGTTCGCCTTTGACAATGCGCGCGCAAGCAAGTCGGAGTTTCAATTATTAGCGACTTATCCGAGTGATTGCCGGGACGTAGGTATTTTATGCGATCAGATGTCATTAGGTTGTTTTGTTTGCTTGTATTATTATGAGACTAAATTTTTCATCGTTATTTCGTTATAACTCTCCGCAATCTCCGTTATTCCCTCGTCTTTAATCAATTTTTTCACATTTATCTGGACATTGGCTCATCGCCAGATAATAAAACTCGCAAATTTATCCAAAACCCCACGATGCTGTTTAATTAACCGCAAAGACAAATGAGTCGGCGAATAAAGGTTCTCAGACTTTTAATATTTCTGGCATCTTGTGTCTCTTTTTCGACTTCCACGAATTGCTATTTAGACGGCGGTACTGTATAAGGAGAATTGACGTTAAAAAAAAAAAAAAAAGAATTAGACAGAGAAAAAAAGAAGGCTTGGACTTTACGTAAGTGTACGCAGGCCGTTTGGCAGAACACGCCAGGATAATAAGGTGAAAGGATGTATATACGTAGAGGTACATACGCAGACGAGGCGGTGAGATAGAAGAAAGCGCGTGCTTCGAATTTGATTATAAAGTCAGCTACACAGTCGGTGTGGGTCGTAGTTGCGCAGGGTTAGCTGGTTAGCGCGGGGTTGTTGACTCCAGCGAAAAGCGCAGTTTGCTTTACTTTTATACGCTTTACGACCGACAGGCGTAATTTACGCATGCGTGACTGATAAATCTATAAAACTAATCAATAGCGCATCTTGTCGTTACTCAGGCTGCCGTTTATGCTTGTCAATAAAGTGCAATCAACAGCTTCACCACTGCAAGCTGCAATCCGTGCTAAAGCAAAAAATAATAGGAAAAGATTTACAAACGACATTGACTTCCTTCGCGTTAAACTCGGTACTTTTTCCGTACAGTTGCTGAAATCCTACGAGCAAGGTGGAATATGGTCATGAGGAAGCGCAAAATATGCCGAGTCAGACAGCAACATCTGCCACAGTCTTCGTTTTCTTATATCTTATTGCTTTTTGCATTTGCTCTTGGGATACTTTTTTGCTTTCTATACGCGTTGATGGTCATGTTGTCGAGTGCAAAACGCCAACTGTTCGGTCAGTTCAGGATTAATTCGTGGAAAAGCAATTTCTTTTTTGATTACACTTAGTTCTTTGTCGAGTATTTTTCAAATCGAAAATTGCTAAATTTTTCAACACTTTTTGAAGCGCTTTCTAAATGAATAAGCAAAAAAGTTTAATTTATTCATTAAAATTTATTGATTTGAGCAAAATATAATACAGACAGTGACTTTCATTCTATGGTGATAAAATCCTTCACGTTCTATTTGCTTGTATTAAAAAGCGACAGCATATGCAAAAATAAACAATCATCAATTTGAATTTTCACGAAAATCGTATATGTAATTACATATTTTTTTATTTTTCTCTCATTTACATGTCTACATTACATCAATTTACATATATACAGTATAATATTAGATTATTATTTACGACTTTTATTTTTTTATTATCCATGGGCTTACTTTACCCAAGTTGGTAACGTATTTGAATGGTGTTCTTTCTCATTGGTATCCTAAGCATGATTGCACTCTATGGCTTGAGAAAGATTAGCTGTTAGAATTTCCAATTTGGTATTACACATTGATTAAGCCATTTCCAGACTCACTTTGATTCTCCAATTCATACGGCAACTTGTAAATGAAAATTTTTACAAGTCAATCAATCTTTTCATTAAATTAATCTAAAAAATTACTTATTCTACTTTTCTGTCCTTCACAACAAAAATGATGCGTTGACATATAAACTATTAAGGAGGCATTAATAAATAATCCAAAATATTACCAATAATATTAGCTATTCCTAAATATTTTAAAGATCTTACAAATTGACTTGCAGCAGTAATCTTCTATTGAAATCATTTATTAAAAAAATATTTCGTAAATTAATTCGAACAGCGCTTATAGAACATGTGTAGTCGATGGTTCAATAGGCTATATGTAAATTGTACTTACCACTAGCAAAACGAGGAATAATTTGGTTTAGTTCAGAAATTTTCTTATATACCAGTCTTGAAACTTTGAAGATACATTCATAGCACGTTAAAACTGATAAGCCACAAAAGAATAGAAGTTAATTTAATATTGCGTGTTCAACAGTAGATGTCTTACACTGTATTGAATTTTCTACCAATGATGTATTTTATGACTATTTTTTACGCTTCTATTTGTTGTTTTCGTCCGAGACAAAGATTTTTTCTCAAAAGAGTTAAATAGCTTCCTTTTCAAAGAAGAAATACATCTTGACAAAGACATAGTAGTCAAAAGGTATTGTTTAGAACGTACAAGATAAATCCATTTTGTTACAGCCATAAAATTGATAATCTTTTGAGAGATTCTAATTAGAATATAATGGTAACCGATTTATTTAGAAGCAATTGTACTTTTGCAAAAAAAAGCCTAAATGATAACAATTTTTTGATAATAAACACGCAAAGACAAAAGTATGTTTTTACAGCATAGCATTTTTTTTTTAAATAAAAAAAAAAACGAAATGAAAACTGTTATATTCAGCCTTTGTTATATTTACGCGCGACTCGTTTCTGATATAGTTTTCTGGAGTCATTTCTCAAATGGGTTCTCCGCAGCCTGGTGCTGCATGAGGGAGTCTCTCTCTCTCTCTCTGGTCGTAATTTGGAGTCAATCTCTCTGCGAAAATGACATGAAAATTGCGTCGGCGCTCGCGGCGCAGTCCGTCGTCGATCGCGCTAATTCCACTTCTTCGCTTTTGCCCTTGCTCGCGAGGCCTATTCTACTCTTATATATACGTGTTTGCAAAATTACAATTGATTTATTTCCTCGTAATTCACGTTCAAATCTCACTTAAATATGTTATTTATTGCTTTAAAGAAGTGAAAAACGAAGAAAACATTTTAATTATGCATCTCCTCCTTCAGCAATTAAGAAAAATGCTTAGCATATCAAACACATAAATTTCAATTTGTACTCCCATCGTAAAATCAATTTTTACGCTTTTAACGATATTCACATTCGATTATACCACGTACCTCGTGAAATAAAAAATTGAAAATCTGAAATCATAACTTTTGAAAGTGGCGCGCAGATTACGCAAACATTTTGTAATCCCCCTCGAAGGGGAAAATGCCATTATTTATTGCGCAACGCTAAAACACATGTACGTGTAAGCTCCCTGTGTTGATTTTTAGAGCTAGTAGCATTATAATTAATAAAACAAAGAGTTAAATACAACCAACACGTGATCTTTAACAAACTCGAGGTTTTACGACAGACGACTCTTAAAACGTATTATAGCTGTGAAAAAGAAAATAAAAACAAGAAAAAAACAACGAAGCCCTTTTTGGGACCGTTTCAATTTAGCGAATCGTAGGCTTACGTTATACATTTAATCGCCGCCGTAAAGCGCACGCACAAATTGAAATCCCGCGCGCAGACCGATAAAGCCTTTGCACTGCGCTTGAGTAAGCATAAGAAATATATAGTATACTTTCTCTAGGATTTTATAACGACTCGCCCGCGTTTAAGAAAAAAAGCTCTGCATAGCGCTTTGTTTGCTACCTCTTCCTTGCGTAGACTGATTTATGTTTGCTCGAGAGAGTGGCAACAAGTGTTACTCCGACTTGTTTCAGTGGAAAGTGCTGTTATTCCCAGACCATTCGGACGATTGGAAATATTGGAAATGGGCGATAAAATTTCGAATATGCAAACAGATTTGCACTTGTTTTAATGTAATATCCATTTGCAATGTGGTAAAAGGAGATAACTTGCATGAAAAACAAATTTTCAAATTAAATAAATATTTCAAAAACGAAAATATGCTATATTTAGAACAATTTAAGTGTATTGCTAATTATTCAGCTCTACAACTTTTTAAGTTCATTAACAAATGATTAAAGTAGGATAGTTTTGAATAGGATCAGGTTGAGTGAAATAAATATAAGTAAATTGACTTCCTTATAACTTAATCAGTTTTATTAGTTTACAAAACATAGCATTTAATGTGACTGTTTACTTTAAATTATTTTTATCTTAATTTTTATATTTACAAAGCCAAAGTTTAAAACATATTATAAAAGCATTTCCATTGTAATCGCTACTTTTTCTATATAAAACAGGCTTCGTCATAGTGTCATATAAAAATATTCTTCATAGACCTCCCCTCAATGCAAGTACTAAATGCAATACGGAACCACCTTGTACCTTATAATCTTGAGCAGTCTTTTCATCATTCCTGAATACAAATTGTTTGATCAGTTTCATATATTAAACACTTATTATGATTATCAATATCTTACATTTGTTTTCCGGAAAATATCAACCTTTGTTGCTGTGGTGGAATGCCTTCCTTCTCTTCAACTCGCTCCTTGATTCTCTCAACTTTATCTGTGGGCTCTATATCGATTTCAATCTAGATAAATAAACATGCAAAGAATAATTTAGATTATGATTATAAAACTTAGTTTACAGAGCAACGAAAACTGGACATTTTAATTATGTATTCAATGATAATGACAATTCACAGGCTATACACTTCATGGCAATGAACAAGGTAAAAAGTTACTCTAAATGTATTGAATCATACTCAAGTTCTATTGCTTGATGTTACGTACAAGTACACTATTCAAATACTGATAAATATCTAACAACAGAGAATATTTGATAGAAAAGAATTGGTGAAATTTCAAATGTTTATTAAAATATTTTTATGATTATTTTTCAACAATTGATTACTATTGAATAATAATCTCAGATTGTTCCCCTAAATTCACAAATAAATTTGTAATATGTCATGATGCAACTATTCAAGCTATTGTGAAAGCTAATGTGAAATAAACAATATGAACAACAGTTACATGAATTATCTAAGTAAATAAAGAATTAAAATTTGAACTAATGTCAAAAATTAGTTGAAACATCTTTCTGCCAATAGTTTGCATGACAACACCTATGAATACTCAATAATGTCAGTGTAATTTGAAGTATTGAAATCATGAAATCGTTTGGCCTTAACATTGATAACTCGTGATTATTTTAGCAACAAAAACCATTACTAAATAACGCTCTTGAAGTTGAAAACAATAAAAACAATGCTAATAGCCGGCTTGTTAGTCTACTAGGTTAGAATTTCCAAGTACTCACCTCTTTTCCCGTCAAGGTCTGAAAAGTAAAAAAAAAGTACATAACAGTAAACAATCGTACTTATATTATATTGTATGAGCTTCCTAGTAAACAAGTTACCTTCACTTTGATCAACATTTTTACAGTTTATTGCGCTTAGCAAACAATTTCGCCAAAGATCAAGACCGAATGAACGGTTTCACAAACGGACGACACCGACTGTAGGCGGGTTCTTCATGGCAGACTCGGCGCAGTCGCGTAGTTGGCGCACTGTCATGTTTCGCGTTTCGCTCGTTCCAAGATAGAGGGAACGCTGGCACTATGAATCGACCGGTGCGCGCTCGAGTTTGTCCGCGGAGCTTGGCAAATATAAAATATACTAATTTGATAAAAACATTAGTTTTTTCACGTGACTTGATTATATATTTAAAAAAATTAGAAATAATAAATTTTAATGCTCTTTGTGATTGAAGATAATAACAGACGAATAAAAATAGTTTTCATTAACGTGGCTAGGAGTTAAAAACAACTTTGATTATCGATAAAATGATTTCCATTGGATGGAATCGTTGGTATTTATTGATATTGGATTTTAGATCTTGATATTATTCTCGAATTTTAATTACGATTATGTTCAAAAGTAAACAAAAAATTAGCTATTTCAATGACAGATGTAGGAAGCATCTATTACCTTGTAATATAATTTTTCAATAAACTTGACTGTTTACGATAATCTTAATATTCGTCAGTAAATAAAAATGATGCAAAGAGATATTAAATAATTTGTACATTAGATTTGTAAGTCGGAAACGGTATTTTTTCCTTTTATTTTATCCAAAACATTATTTGACTATTTCATATATTCAAGTAACTTGATAAAATTCAAATTGTCTTTATACAAAACATAGCTCGGGTCAACCAATACTTCCCTTTTGCTATCTGCAATATCATTCGTCTGATTGTAATGTAACTTAGTCACAGTCAAGAATTTCCAGCTGTCATCACATTGCTATTGCTATGCAAGTAAGATACATAGCATCATAGACGATAGTGTTTCAGACAAAGAAAAAGGAAAAGTGGCGTTATCAGAAGCGCGTGGCGGCCGATTAATCAAACGCGGGAACGCGCGCGCGGCACTGCCTTTAAACACCATCGCCTGATTAAAGTGACTCGAGTGATTCCGCGCTAATCAGCGGTAATTACTTGGTCAAGTCTCTCTCTCTCTCTCTCCCTCTTTTTCTCTGCTCTTGTGCGCACACACGATGTCTTATAAAGTGAGTGCACTCGATCGCCCGACGCGATTTGATTGACATGCTTTCTCTCTCCTAGCTGCGTGCGAATTCTGATTGCCATCGACGACTCTCACGTGGATGAGCACGTCCGAGTGCATCTTGATATATGCACCGGATGCGAGTGGTTATGTGGACTCTCTTTTCGTTTACTCTGCTTTTAACTCGAGTGCATTTTTTAGCTACTACTTTTGCTATTTTAAACTGTTTCTTTATCACTGTCGTAGAACAACTCTTTCAATCGTAGGCGCATATTTTTGTCGTTCGTCACTCCTTGAAGTTGGAAAGATACGTTGAGTTAATTAGTCTCGTTTGTACTTTGCATGACAGAGCGATCAACCATGATTATTTCGAAAAATTAATCATGTTGTTTGTTCCATGAACAAATTTTGGTACTTGTGTGGAATGTCGATGAAAAATGAACAACGTAGTCCACATACTAGCCATTTATAGAACATTGCAAAAATAAGTTGCTTAAAGCTCATCCACGTGTTTGAGAACGGGCAAAAGTATAAAAATCGGCGGAAAAGAATCGTACTCATGATTTCGCGATTACACTAAACTAGAAGTGCGGCAACACAATTTACCCTGCCATTTGCCGCGGCAGTAAAGTCGCAATCACAAAGTAATTACCTAATAGAAGCTCATCAGCGGCGGAGCTTATCTTACCTCAGCCGCACAGTCAAAAAAAAAAAGAAAAAATGAAGTAGTGTCGTGTCCCCTCTGCGCAACGCCCATCAAGATCAGCCCCTCTTGATATACGGGCGACAAGTGTGAACTGCTGCTGCCACTGCCGTGGTAGGTCGATCGTTAGCCGGTCATCGGGGTCATCGGGTCATTGCCACGCGCTCGAGATCGGATCGTTTTACTCTCTCGATTAAAAAGGGCGGCAAGTGTCTATAGGGACGGAAGCTGTCCGATTGAACCCGGGCGGAAGGAGCGTTCGTGTCCGCAATTGATATCTTTCGGGATTGAGACGGATGACTCCACAGATATGTTCGGATTATTTTCAATTTTTTAATCTGCCAGTCGTTTATCGGACTTATTATTTTTTATTTAATCCGGGTCACGGTTTCGGCTCATTTCCCCGCGAGGCAATTCGTCAGACGGCATATCGGTGCGGAATGCTAATTAAATTGTTACCAGCTTACAACTGAATGGTGAAACCTTCGATCGAATTTATTTGTCATCGCGTCCAAGTGGCGCAATATTCTCGCGGCTCATTTGCCTGTAAAGGAACGGAAGATTTTTCGCAAAAAGAAGGCAAAGCAGAGCGATACGAAAGAGCAAGAGCCGATAGCCAGTCGATTCTCAAGCAAAAGAGAAACACAGAAGAAGAAGGGAGCGAGGGAAAATTACTCCGTGCGATGCGCCTCTTGTTCGGGGTAATGAACAGTTCTGCAACGCTCTAATTGTACGGATTGCGGTTGTAAGAGAAAGAGGAGGAGGCGGCGGACGAAGGCTGAAAAAAAAAGGAAGAGGAACGCGAAAAACGTGAGGTTCCGGGATTCGCCTGTTGTTTCCAAGCATTCGACTTCCGTCGATTTTCTTTTGCTTGCTCCCATTCGCGTGCTTCTAATCCCTACTCTCTTGCCTCACATGTGCGTTTCCAATTTTCCCTCAATGTAGTGATGTTTCGATCACTAATATTTGTTTGTCTCCTCAGTTTTCTCAGATTATAGCGATCGATCATAAATATGACACCTTTCAAATCATTTTTGTTGTTGAAACCTTCAGTAAGAGTCTCTGAAGAATTATAAGCGTTACGAATAATTGCGCTCGTGTGTTCCCTTCATTAGAGGTGCACAAAATGAAATTAAAGTTGCGGGCGTTTTGCTCATTGCAAAGTTCATTTTGACACCTCTTTTGCCGGCAGCGTTTTGCGCAAGAATAATGATAACGATGAAGACCATTTTGTGGGTCAGCTTTCACAGCAAACAACAATAGAATGTAATTTGTTCGATATTATAATTTATCAGCTAGAGTCACTCACAATGCTCTTATTACGATTGTAACAAACGTTTTGCTTATACCCGTTGTCTGTGCATTTTAAAGAGAAAATAAAGTCGAAGCGCGTTTACAAGAAAAAAAAAACGCAACTCTGAGCATTTCATTCGGATGATCGAGTTTCTCAAATTTATTTGATTAGTGTACGTTAACGACTTTTATAAAATATCTCGTGGCTTCGAAAGATAAAATAAACGAGGATACGGCAGGAACGAATGAAAGTAACAAAAAAACAAGAAGTTGAGACGGGAGGAGGCTAACTTGTTAATCCTACGGCGCGTTCATTAGCGTGCGCCGCGTGCAAGTCGCATTATAACGAAAAGAAAATAAAGTAAAAGTTGCGCGCCGCTAATTCGAGATTGAGTTAACGAATGATTTTCGGGCTTCGCCCGTAGGCGACAGTTCATGGAAGTGCCGTCTACGTTGTTGTGTTTTGACAGATGATGAAGGATCGAGGTGTATTAATCGATTTGCTTTGCGTCTATCCAAACGACGATATGTATATATAGCTTTGATTATTGTCCGCGTAGGTAAACCTATGAAGTATGTAATGATCATGTACGTTGAGAATGAATGGAATTCGTAATTTAGATATTTTATCTTCTATAAATTAAATCATGAGTAAAAATACTTTCCATCAGTCAATTCTTCCAATAATAATTTTTATGTGAATCGATTGTATTTAACAGCATAATTATTTCGTCATCGCCTTTTAATCATTTTTCATGCAATATATTGTTGTTTTTCAAAACGATATTTCATATTCAATTATTTTTATGTTTCAGGTGAGTTTCGCAAAATCAGCCTGTTTCTCAAGAAAATTGTCGTAAGTCGAAGAATAATCAAGCGAAAAGAAAATAGTTCAACTTTCAAACGAATCTTTTCTAAGAGAATAAAAGCAAAAAGAAAAAAAAAAACTATTAATATGCTATGATTTTCAAAATGATGACCAACAGATTAAGAGTAAAGTCATATTGTACCGGCGCGTAAAATACTATCATCAAAAGAGTTGTTAAAACGCCACTAGGTTTTTCTCCTTTTGTATACATGCTTACGCATGCAGAGTGCTTTAAACGAGGCTTTATATGGGTGAAGGTTGCACACGCGCCGAGATTTCTGAGCCGCCCAGTTGCGTAGACACCGAAAAAAACTGCTATTCTTCTACATAGACGTAGGTATTATAACGCTCGGCTGTCATTTGAATTCGTTATGGAGGATGGCATTGTCATGATGATAGCTTTTTTTCTAGTCGGTGATCTTCAACGAGAAAAGAAAGGCGATGATATATCTGCTTTTTTGTTTTAAATTGAATTTGATTTAATAAAGTAAATCGTAATTTGTTTCAATGTAATTTCAATCATGATCCCATAAAATATTCAAGTATACGCGATTACCAAAAAAAGGTATTTCTCGATTACCTAAAATGAACAAATTGGCAACTGAACCGAATGATAACGTCTGATTTTTACGACTATCTTCAAAATTACGAGCACCCTCGTGTCGCAAAAATTGAGCTTGATTGCGTTATTTCAACGGCGGCGTCAGTGCTGATTAGGAGTCTTTTCTTTCACAAGGAGCACCCTGCTGGGAGAGTCCCGATGTAATCGCTACCGCGCGCGCCTCCTCGTTCTCTCGCTGCACGCAGAAAAGGTCCATGGAATACCGGACGAGAATTGTAGTGTGCGTGAATTGTTTTGACGTGTAATTATTGAAAACGTGATAATGGAAGTCGCCTCGTCGTTTCTGATATTGCGTACACAAACTTTGCAAGTTACACTGTAATCGCACACTGTGTGGCTTTTCTTTTCGTAGGTATAAGTGTGACAGTTGTATTGTATGCTGGTAATTAGCACATGGACTCCATGCGAATTTGACGTATTGGAGTGATTCCAAATGTTATTTGATTTGCTGCGGATTGTCTGTAGTGAAGGGGAAATTTAACTGCAATTATCATCAGGAAAGC